TCCCTCCCTCCCTCCCTCCCTCCCTCAATCCCTCAATCCCTCCCTCCCTTCCTTCCCCATCTAAAGTTAAATATCATTATCAATATCTGTTTTTACCCCTTTGTTTTTACTTTTGGCAGTCTCATTTAATATTAATAAAAAGCACATCTGCATATTTTTCAATAGAAACATGTGGGTTATATCTGTTCATGTCTTGTGGATCTCAAACATCTGACGCTTATTCTATGTGTAGAGTTTGGCCACCCCTGCTCTAGAAGGCATCATCAAAACCTTTTTCACAGCTCATCCAGTTATGTACTTGGCTTGCTACACTCTGGCTCCCCCTACCCCACCCCAGCAACATAAGCTTCATCCATTGCCAGTCCTGTGCATGAAAATGATAAACCTGCTTTGGTGACACATCCTGCCTGAAGGGAATCTTCCCTTTCAGGAGTCAGTTTTCTTGTATCTCATGACTTTGAGATGGCTAGTTATTTTGAAGTGGGGAGACCATGTTATTCCAATATAATAATAATCCCTATGCGTTTTGCATTGAGCTTCCTCAGGGAGATCTATGCGTATGTCAAAAAATAAAAGACAAAAAAAGGTTAATGATTATCTTTTAACTGATAGAACCTCTCTGATAGAACTTCTGAGCATGTACAGAAAACATTTAATGGTCAAGAACCACCTAAAATACTGCTAAAATCCCAGCAGTATTTTAGGTGGCTCTTGATAATTAAGAGGTTTTGTACATGCTCAGAAGTTCTATCTTTCAAAACATATTTTTATCAATGTTTTGATATGTTTTTCAACTAATTGATTAGTTTTTCAACTAATAATGTAGAAAAACAGTTAAAAGATAAATATTAACTTTTTTCTTCAATCTCCTGAGGAAGCACAACGTGAATCGTGTAAGAGTTATTATTATATTGGAGTCAAATTGTCTTCCCACTGCACCATTGTTTTTTTCTTCATCTCTTTGCTCCAGTGGGTGCATCCCTTCTTCCATTTACTTAGAAGTAGATGTCCTTTCAGATAATATTCTTGCTTGATCGCCTGTCGCCCTTGATATTTACAGATCTTATATTTCCCATTGACATCGCTTCAGTCAAGAGAGAGCACGACTTTTTGGACAGAGATGCCACTGAAGCCTTGTGCAGGTAGGTGGCGAAACGTTACTTTAGCGAAAGGAAGCAGAGTAGCTTCTGAGAGTATAATTTTTGCCCAGTAATAGTCTTCATAATCCAAAGAAATCATAGAATATTTATTGTTATTGAATGGGCTCTGACCATTTCTTCACAGTTAAAATCTCTTGAGTGGCTTCATTGCATTTGCTGTGCGAGCGTAAGATGTATAGAACTTCACATCTAAGAATTCCTGCTTTTGGTTTACAAGCAAGTTTCTATCCATCAAGAAATAAAATGAAATTACTAATATACTAGGGGAGGGCTGGGAAGGGCTTCTGTTTTTTGGAGATTAGAATACTAGGGCCTCACACAGCTCTTTGTCCCCATGCTATGGTTTTCCATCACTGGCAGAGCATCTGCTTGGCATGCAGAAGGTCCCAGGTTTAATCCCTGGCTTCTCCAGTTAAAAGGATCAGGTAGGCGGTGATGTGATGTGAAAGAGCAGCAGCAAAAACCTGCAAATCCAAAATAACTAGCAAAGTCGTATACTGGTGCTCAGGAGCACATGTTTAGTGTCACATATGATGTGTCTAAAGGAAAACAGCTGTCTTTAGGTGCAAGAGAGTCTTGCCTGCTCTTCTGGTAGTGACAGGAAAACAGCTGTCTTTAGGTGCAAGAGATTGCTTGGCCTGCTTCCCTTTAAGTTTATCTCCTAGCCCTGCTTGCTCAAAGCTAGCATGTGTGTACTGCTGTCATTCTGCCCACATTTGAAAGCATCTTGGCGCATGCTGGTACATGGATGAGGAAGCTACAGTTGGCAGAGGGTTTGTTTTTTCCCTCAAAATATATTTTCCTACACTGTGTACTCTACACAGAATACAGGAACCTACCCCAGCCTTCTCCCATGGTCTATTTGAACGTTCATTGTACCCACATCGGGAGGATTCCTGCTTTGCTAAGGGGGAATGATTAGTGGAGAAAATACTATGATACAGGTAGGCCTGCAGTCTTCATTTTAGGGATCTTTTTAATGTGGTCATGCCATTAAATGCCATGTTAAGGGAAGATCATTAATTTTTAGTATAATGCATAAATCCACATAAATTTTTAGTATAATGCATTAGTATAATGCATAAATTTTTGTGTGGCCTTGTAAGTTTTAAGAAAAGTAAGCAGTCATTTATGGGATGATATCTGCCAGCAGAATCCTTTGATAAAGGAAAAAACATCCTTTAGTTGCTGAAAAAACATCGTTATATCTTGGCTTCATATTGTAAACTGAACCTAGTGTGCAGTAGTGACGCACATGACATGGATCTATAGGATTACTATTTGCAAAACTGATCTCGTTTTAACCTTTTTAAGAGCATGACACTCTCCTCCACGGTTAATCCGGTGGCAATTTGTAAGACAAGACTATCTTGAATTGAACTGAAACTTAAAAGGATACATTCTGAATTTGGATTTCTGCAAGAGATGCTAAAGCATTCGGATCTCTGTTAATATCCAGTCCAACAACCACTCATGAAGTATTCAACGTCCAAACATTTTGCCTTGTGGTGGCTTTGCCAATGCAGATACAATTTTATGTTGTTCAAATGTCTGCAGATATTTCAGTGACTCTAGAGCCTGGTTTCCACATTTCCGTTGCTCTGCTGTTTTTTTGTGGGGGGCTTTTGTGAACAATACAAACCAGGATCAAGCTCATAACAATGCAATTTCCATTTGCAGTATAGCAAAGATTAGAAATTGATTATGTACCAGAAAGCATCAGGATTCAAGTTTTAATCTACCAGATATCCTCTATTTGTAAAGGAGCCTCTATTTGTAAAGTGTTTTTCAATTGTGTGTCTTGAAAAGTTCTCTAGATAGTGCTTGAGAACTTATCTTCAGTGGTGCACACTGACTGCTGGAGCCATACTCATCCAAACTGGTGTAGTTTCAGTAACAAATTTAAAAGAAATTTGGGCTGTAGTCTCTCTCAGCGCATGGAGCAGTGTTAAAACTGTAGAATGAGAAATAGGATTGAAATGCAATGAAAAAGAAAGCTTCCTCCTGGTGTTGCAATTCAAAGACAGCTGTATGTCACAGAGAATCAAATGATGCTTCAGTCTTGACCTTCACTATTGTTGTTGCTTCTACTAATTCCCTTCTTAACACTGAATAGCCCCACAGTCTGGCATCCAAGTAGGGAGTTGTGAAACTTCATCCATTCCTTTTAGAGCCTGAAGGTAAGTAAGCACTAAGAAGCAGGCTCTGAACAGGCATTTCATTCACAGCTATACACTAGGGTTGCCAAGTCCTCGCTGTATGTAGAGCGGGGAACTCCAGCGCTGCTCTGGGAGTCTGTGCGCGCACGCGCCGCAACCACATCACCCGGAAGTGACGCAACCACGTCGGGCACGCCGGGGGTGGGGCCACAGTCATCCAAGATAAAACCATAGAGTTTTCCCTCAGATGACCGCAGCCCCACCCCCCAACGTGCCCAACGCGACTGCGTCACTCCCAGGTGACGTGCTGACGCCGGGCACGTCGCATGCTTTGGGGTGGGGTTCCCCCCGGGGCCCAATCTGCCGGCGGCGGGTAACGGGCCTCTCGGGCGGGGGTTTCCCCGCCCCCCGGGGGGACTTGGCAAGCCTACTTTACACATCTGTTTTTAGAACTGTGAAACTGGGAGGAGCCTGGCCTTGAAGCATAGTTAACTGAAATGTACTGTAAGTATACCAGCCTGGTTTAATAATAACCATCTCCTTGTTAAATTTGACTGATGTGAATCTGTGACTGCATTGTGGCTGTAAATATATACCAACACTATGGTTAGTCAGATTTAAAAAGTGGATTATTATCAATTTAACCAAGTGGTCTTTCTTAGTCTACCATGGCTGAAAGTTACATGAAGCTCTTGGGATCTTCATGCAAAATGGCTCTGTAACTTATTACATGGTGTGATGCCTTCAGATTTGTGTTCTGGGTGGCAGCTATGCCACAGGATGGACACATGGATTGATTTTAAGGCATCCTGCAGTAGACATGAATTAAATAACAGTTTGCTGAATGCATTTGGGTAATTCAAGGTAAAAAAAATTATCCAGGCACATAGCCAGGCTGACTTGGGAATAAATCCTTCTTTATTTCTAATACAAGTATGTATTAGATCTTGGACAGGAAGTGAGCATTATCCATCAAGTCTTTCTTTCCACTTCATTAAAATATACTGTACTATACTAGTATCAAACACTCTGTACTAATTACTCTGAATTTCTTGGCGGGAGGCTGGAATAAAAATCTAATAAATAAATGTTGAATTTTCTGAAGAGCTTTCTTCTTTTCCCACATGAGAATTCACGCAAATGGTTCCCATGGTGAAGCTAAAGTGATAAATCACCATGTGAAAAATTTTGCCTAAATAAGTACCCCTAAATAAAGGCTTAAAAATAAATCCCCAGTCTCTGTGATTAGTGGTAGGGTCAGGCATAATTCATGGCTTGTTGTTGGAATCCTCAAGCACGTCACGTAGCCCCAATGGTTCTTGTTGGATTTTTCTAGGATTCGGGCTTTCTTCAGAAGTGGATTTCTGGTCCTCATAGCTTCAGAGAGAAGTTTGGAATTCTAGCAGCAGATTTCTCAAGTCTATATCGCATATTAATATTTGTATCTCCTTTTCATACTATTGTTTCATTGCAAAATGAACATGCAGGTATTGCTCAGTTGTTAAGCAATATCTAAGGAACTTTTTCAGCTTATATGTTACTGGGGGGAAATCTTAAAGAGCAATAATTCGCTGGTCATAAAGTTAATTTCCACCAACAACTGGCACATTTGCTGCAATTTTTACTATCAGCACCCTTATCATAGGTTCCTACTAGTTAGTGTTTGTGATGGCAGAGGTGGCAATTGTTTAGGACATTTTTAAAGTGCATACATCTTCTCAATGACCCGAACTAGCCCAATCACAGCATTTCTCAGAAGCTAAATAGGGTTGGCCCTGGAAAACCCTACATGGGCCCCGGTCACACGGGCCAGATAACACGGGGGAGAGGCGTGGCTCTTTGTGCCGGTGCAGTTAGACCCGCCAGAACACGATCAGATGCGACAGCGGCACACCATGGTTTTGTCCGTCAGCACATGCACGTCAAGGAGGACAGCCGGGGGGGAAGCCGTGGGCCGGCGCGATCACACGGAACGATTCCATCAGCAGCCCATGGCAAACCATTTGCTAGTACATTTGTTGAGATACTTTTTAACTGTGCAGCTTCAGTGGCACGCCACAGGTGTGCTACACTTGCCAGATGTTGTGGTGTGATCGCGCCCTGAAAATCCGCCCAGCATTCGTGGATCTCCCGTGGCAAATTCGGCGTGTGAACAGGGCCATGGTTGCTATAAGTTGGCTGTGACTTGATGGCACTTTCCACCACCCTCATATCTTTTCTCAAGACCACAAATGTTTACTTACTGTATCATTCTTGCAGGAGTGCTCATGCAACTTTTAAAACTTTGGCAGGGAAGAAAAAAAAATCTTCCCCGTCAGTTTGTGTTCCTTTTTCCTTTTGAAGATTCTTTCCTTTAGTTCTACATTATTTTTTCCTGCCTTTTTGCAAAGTGTGTGAATTTTCTCTTTTTAAAAGGAACGTCTGAGGAAGTAGTTTTCACAGTCTCCACACTTATCTGTTTCAGCTGCCCAGGGGTTATTTGAAAGAGGAGTCTACAGTATAATCTTGGTGAAATCAAAGACACTCTTATCAAGCTGGCTGGAAAATATGTTTTCTCTGACAGATCAAAGTGGTTGGTCTAGTTAAATGCGACCACTGCAACAGGTTTCAACTAGATAAAACATATATTAAGAATAATGCTGTAAAACTCACAAATGTTTATGTTAAACAAAACTGGGAATTTAAACTAGGAGATCTTTATTTAAAAAACAAAACAAAGGCATAGAGATGTAGTTCTAAACTTGTTTTCCATTGGATGGCTGGAAATTTTTGGTCAGGTTTTTTTTTTATGTAATCTGTAAATTAAACATGTTTTGTGAGTCT